TTAAAATTCTTGTTTTGATCCAGGAGTAAATTTGGTGCATTCTAATGACTCCTTGAGCCATTTCAGAGCATTCAATTACTCTGCAGCAGCAAAACCAACAAAACCATCTAGCTCTAGAGAGAATGAAGGTGTTCTGGGTCATAAACAATCCTTGCCCTAGAGAAGTTTCGAAATACTTCATGTCTTAGCAATTCTGCAGCAAATGAGTGTTTGAGCACAATATTCTTTAAAATTATGCACTAAAATGATGACAGTACTGTTCCCCAAACCACCTTACAAACATTTCTTATACTTAAAGGCATGCTTGAAAACATTAATTATTAAAGAGAGTCTGCATAGCTATTTTTTCTACTTGCAGCATGAAACAGTTCAAATATATTCAAAATGGATTTCTTTTTTTTGCAAAGATGTTCTGTTTGAATACAGCACAATAGCCCTGCAGCAGGGTTATGCAGATATGCTGTGAAATCAGGTTGTTCTTCGCTTTGACAGAATTTTATGACCTGGGGAAGTGATCACATTTTAGAGCCAGGAGAGCATGCATGTGGTTTTCTCTTTAAAACAGTTTTTTTACTCTTTACAACAGTTCAGAGGGAGAATGTCAAGCAAAGGCTCTACTACCCTTTGCACTGCTGTTCAAAGGTTATGTAAATACATCCCTGCCCAATTCTGCCAGGCTGACTGAGAACTACAAGGTGGCTGCTCTTATGCTTTTCACTTTTTATTCTGTATATATATCTATATCTATATCTATATCTTGTTTTTCTTTCCCTCCAAATCTATAGCAGTAGATATGTAAGCCTTATTGAAGTGATGCTCTGCTTCGGAATTCGTGGGAAATGTAGAGCTTCAGAGGAAGAGAAAACATTAAACCCCTGTTAGTGTTGAAGTTCAGAAGCAGTTGTGGACCACTGAGGAAGCCAACGTGGTGTGTTTTATCAGAGAACTATTTACTTACCAAGCCATGTGATCTCTAGACTTGCTTTGAGTTCTGTTTTATGCCTTTTATTTAAAACAATTCTTGCCCATTTGAATTAAAGCGTCCGACTTCTGAAATTTTACAGAAGTGTTGATATCCTGTGAGTGACAGAACACCATGTAGATGGAATCCGGTCTAGAAAGGGAATAAACCTCTATAGTCTTGTAAGTGTGTCTCTCTGAACTGATTTGGCTTACTGGAATTCTGTTTTTCTCTTGCAGGCATTATGCTGCTCGAAGTATTCCTTGTTCTGGGGACAGTCATCATCTACTTCTTATTTTACAAGAAGAAAGAAGAGAAATTGCCCTTTAAAGAGGGATGGTGGGGCAAGGGACAAAAGCCTGATGCTGAAGAAGATACAACTATTCGGCCATTTAAGGTGGAAACTAAAGAAGAAGAGCTGAGTGTAAGCAAATCTCTGTACTGGGGAGAGAGAAGTAAGAAATGGACATGTTTGGAAGTCATTTTAAAATTGAACCAATAGTTACATTTGTGGGAACGAGCAGTGATGTCCAGGTCTTGGGGGAAGGGATCTTTCAATACTTCAGAAGACAGGTATGGATAGGCAGATTTCATACCCTGCTATGCCATTTGGTTTTCAGCTGGCTGTTGCAAGGTTGCTGGTAAATAAACCTACTTTGCAAAGTCTAATAATCATAAAAATCATATTGCAGATTACTCAACTCAATGTTTCTGTTTGTGCACTTTCCTCAGTTTGTGTAGACAATATCTTTTTTTTTTTCTCTCTTTCTTCCCAAAGCAATTACAAATACCTCATTTTCTTGACTGCTTTATGTTTGCAGCTGTGTTGAATGCTGATTCTTTTGTAATTAATGGTCTACTTTGGTCAACACTAAATTACTGTGGTAATTACAGTAAACACATACGTTGCAGAATTTGTTGGATAGAGAGATTTTGATTGTGTTTAAGTCAGGGATTGAACAGTTTCATAGATCTGTGTGGCAGAGTCATGGTTCAAACAATACTCATGGGATTGCTCATATTATTCATTTATAATGGGTTCTTATTTCCTCAGGAAGGCCTGAGATTTTTAACACTTTGCTTGCCCTTCTTAGTAGTATCAATGGATGTTGATCTCCATTATGTTTTCCCCTTATACCACAGACACTAAGCTAGATAATTTCTAACTTATGAATATATTTGAAACATGCAATTCTGTATTATGGCAGCTCTTCCATCAGTAGAAGACTCTGCATAAACTAGGAATTAAAGTTATCCTAGCATGCATTACCAAAATATTTTTAGAAGGTGTTGAGCATGGAGTTATGTATGTATGTATGTATGTAAAGGCATGTCAGAAACTTCATTTAGAAATTTGATGCTCTCTGTACACGTGTTAAATGCCAAAACAGTGAGCTTACATACTGATGTCTTGCCTAGGGTGAGACTGCCTGTTCAGTGAGGCATGAGCCAATGCATACACCTAACTCATCTTAGGGTGGGAACTGTTATTGCTCTATTAGCAAATGCTGTTCAGGTTTACACCCCTTAGAGACTTGAGCAGGATTAGATTTCCAGACCTGCTTTCTACCCTCAACTATTCTGTGGTCCTGTTTGCAATAGGAAGGGGCTCTTGGCTGTACTTCCCTGCTGAGTGGTCTTGGACTTGTTTTGCAGTATGGTCAGCATCCCCCATAACCTGAAAGTGCAGTGGGAAATTCACTGTCATAGTTATTCGAGATTGGCAAACTTTAATTTCAGTCTAGATTCACCAACTCTGTGTCCATGCAAAATCTCTTGGAGTGTTTCCCAGTGAAGACATCCTGCCCCTTGCTTTAGGAAGGAAAGCAAAAGGTCTGGGTCAGATTCGAGCATTGATTGTGAGGTTGGGCTCGTAGGTAACCTGAGGAACAAAGCACCCTGGCAAGGCAACAAGACTTATACTGTGAAGCCACAGTAGTGTCAGCAGAGTGTATTGTCGTCTGTGGTTATCTGCCTGGCAAACAGGTTAGCCAGCCCTGTAGGACAAAGGCTGAGACAGTGTTAAGAACAGCTGTAAGTGGAAGAGGAAGGAGGCCATCTGCAGGAGAAAAATAATTGGAACAGGTGATGGAGCATCACCAAAGGCACAGGTGTCTAATCAGAGATGTTATTTTCATTGTTTTCATTTCACTTGGGAAACCATGCACAGAACAGCCTGAGATGGCAGACACGAGCTCTTTTAATGCTTCTTCTTTCTTTTCCCTCCAGGATTTATTTAGGAGACTTGACCAGGCTCGATTCACTGAGCCACTGGAGAATGGTTGCTTCCATTATGGGGCTAACTCCATATATCTCAGGAAGGTTGTCTCCTACTGGAAAAACCAGTTCAATTGGAAGAAACAAGTTGAAGTCCTCAACAAGTACCCACAATTCAAAACAAAGATTCAAGGTGTGTGGCTTTTCCCCTTAAAATATAAACAGTAATACATAATCTTATCTGCAAGGGATCTCGGTGGTAAGAATGCTATGGATGTGTCACATGGTCCTTCCCTCCCTGGCTGCCATAGCCTTGGATCATTGGCATCACTGCTGAAGCAGCAAGAAACTCCTTCATTGTAACTGAAGCCTTTAGGATGAGGAATGACAAATGGAATTCCCTGTGCATGAGTGGCTTGTCAGCTGGTGTTAACAGGAGCCAAGCACAGGCATTTGGAAACAGAACTGGATCTTAAGATGTACACATGTTCCCTGACTTGCATGCAGTCATGCAAAAATACCCACAGATGTCTCCTCATGCTCCATGTAGTTCTCCAGTTGCTGCTGTCACAGTGATGCCATCAGCCTGGCAGCCCTCCTCAGCTGGGTGTGCTGGCAGCTCAGGTTGGTCCTGCTTGGCAGGGCAGATGTGCTCTGCTGCATTTCAAGCACTGGTAGGCCTAGGAATGCAGACACCTTTCCCTTGGGGTTGATGTGCTGCCAGGCATGAGGAAATGGTTTCTCTTTTCATTCAGAGCACAGGCACCTTTTGAAAGGCCATTTTCAGGTAAAGTCTGCTGGTGCTGGAGCTTGGTCAGACTGAACATTTTAAAACGCTTGATTTAGGGTTGTGCTTGGGCCATTTTGGAGTGCAGCTGTAGATCTAGAGGACAGCAGGCAATTGTCTCACATGATGGCAAAATTCAAGCTTGAGTGTATGCCGTTATGTTTTTACTTGCCCCCATAATTATAGGTTATTTTAAGTGGTGCAGCTTACCATAATATTTGAAGTGGATTTGGGACAAAACCCGTTGTTTCATAGTAGTTAGAACACAAAACTTATTTAAATGTATACAACGTGGTTCGTGCTGAAAAACGTAAAACCAGAAAGTCTTCCCTTAAAAAAGAAAAAAAACAAGTATCATCTGAGACAAGAAAAGGAGAAGCAGCTAAGGACAGGGCACTATGTATAGCAATAGGGAGAGAAACTTCAGCGTAAGGAAAGATTACAGAGATGAAACATGAAAAGACAAGGTCAAACATGCTGTATATCAAATTCCTACCTTCTGTCATCACTTGAAAGTTTTTCTGAGAATACAGAGATTCACAGGATTGTCAGGGATGGGGAAATCTCAGTCAGTGAAAGAGGGTGGTGAACTGGAGTTGTCAGTAAAGCGTGCTTAAATCCATCAAGAAATGAGGCATACAGGCTCTACTAAGAGAAAATTATTGTTTCCTGGAAAGCAAAGCCCTGAATGGGTTTGAGGAAGAGCAGTGCACCTGAAGTAGCTAGTGCAATGCTGCGTGGAGCTTACTGCTTGCATGGGGAAAGGGTCACAAAGGGAACAGGACTGCAATTTTTACCTTCTTAAGAAGGAGACTGGTACTAGATCATAGTCTTCTGTTTTGGTTAACTCACTTAAAGAGATACTGAAAGTGTTGGACAAAAGGTAGAACTACAAAGATGAACACTTTAACTCTCTTTTAACAAGGCATTTTGTCAAATCCTTGATTCGGCATGATTGGTATATCAGCAGTCAAGATGTGTGACTTGATTACAGGAGACCTTCACAGACAAAGAATAATTACTGAAGGCTTTTTAAGTTCCTTTTGCTGTAGCATTTAGGATCAGTTGCTGGAGACAGAAGCCAGACATGTTCAAATGGAAAGTAAGGCATGCACAAAATGAGGAAAGTGATTAATGTCCCCAAACAAACAGCTGCTAGATTTGATGGATTCCCTACCTCTTGGTGCCTTGCAGTTCCAATTGTAAGCCTTTGAGGAAGAAAAATCTGTGGGCGATTGAAGCCTATCCTGTACCATATAGGGACATTTAGATAAAATTTAAGGATACTTGGACTAAATGATGCAATTGTCTCTTCTGCCTTTAAGCTGTGTGAGTCACTGTGTTACCGTTAGTACATTGCTTCACTTCTATGTCTTATTTTGCCAATTTATTTTAAAACAGAAACACGCCAACCTCATTTGGTTGTTGTGATGCTTAATTGCCCATTATAAAGTACCTTAAGGTCCTTGGATAAATGTATCCAGAGAAGTGCAGTGTGTTTGCATGCTCACCAAAACCAAGGTCTTCAGAAAAGATTGATTGATAATCTGTTCTGTGATTAGTTTCAGTGTCATGGTAAATTTGGGCATGCTAATTATTTATTTTATTTTTACAGGCATTGATATCCATTTTGTTCATGTGAAGCCTCCTTGTTTGCCTGAAGGCCAGTCTGCAAAGCCATTACTGATGGTTCATGGTTGGCCTGGCTCATTTTATGAGTTTTACAAAATCATCCCTCTCCTGACGGATCCTGCGAGCCATGGCCTCAGTGATGAACACATTTTTGAAATCATTTGCCCATCTATCCCTGGTTATGGTTTCTCAGAAGCACCCCACAAAAAAGGTATGATGCATGAACAGATTGCCTGGGGAAGTAGTGGATGCCCCAGTCTTGGCAGTGTTCAAAGCCAGGCTGGATAAAGCCTTGAGCAACCTGGTCTGGTGGGGAGGTGTCCCTGCCCATAGCAGGGGCTTGGGACTAGATGAAGGTCCATTCCAACCCTTAAAATACTATATTTCTCTGATAAGAAACTGAACTACCACAAGCCCAGCTCACAGTGAGATAGCCCCTGCTAGCAGAACAGTAACTCCTGTGACATACTCATTTTCCCAGTGTAGAAACAGAGATCCTGTGTGCTGTGTGGGAAGAGGGAGATAAGAGGGTCACTTCAGGTGACATCATTGACTAGTTTTAGGAGCAATGTATAAATAATTTTAAAAGAACTATAAAAAGCTATTGTGACAAATCAAGAACTGTAATCGAGTCCATGAATTGTCTGTGAGTGAGCAGGCAGAGTATATTTCATTTGTTACTGTTCCTTTTGGGTGTTTTCAGTCCATATTCAACAGTGTTTTATACAGATAGGTGAGAAGCAACAATTGAAACAAATCAGTTTATATATCTACATGGCAGATTGCAGCCAAATACCTGCTCGTTCAGCTTGTGCTCTGAACTATACAAACACAAGCTGCAACAAATTGAAGCAAAGTACTATTCAAAGTGATGCTAAGCTTACTATTTAGTTATGTGTACAAGTGAGTAATGTGGGGAATGTTGGTTTTGCTTTTCTCTACTTCCCTGGTTACAAGTTATGTCGTCAGTGTTTGGTGGAGAAGTGCATTATTAGTGGAAACTTAGAGTTTCCAATTATCATTAAGAGGAGACTGTGCTCACAGTAGACAAAACAGAAACACATTCCCTGGGCAATGCTCTGTGCCTCTGACAGGGCTTAGATGGAGTATGGCTATAGTTTAGTTTAAATGGAGTCTAGTAGCCCTTTGGTGGGTCAAATGTGTGGGTTCTCCTGACCCCAAACTGCTGGGGTCAGGAGAACACCAGTGGGCAACAAAGGCTAGGATTTGTCTTCCTCATGGCTTCTGCTTGCTCTCTAGACCTTGCCTGGATGGTGTGGAAGGGCTTCCATATAGTCTGTCAAGCAGGCAAGGAGAAATGGACTTGTAGCTTTATAGGCACTTGAACATTGCCTTTTCTGTGGAAAAGAAAAGAAATGCTCAGGGTCAGAAGTGTAGGTGGGATTAATACAACAGTGTTCTTTTCTTTTAATGCAGGTTTTGATTCTGTAAGTGCTGCCTCTGTTTTTCACGAATTGATGCTGAGACTGGGATTCAATGAGTTCTATGCCCAAGGTGGTGACTGGGGCTGGCTCATCTGCACCAACCTGGCCCAGATAGCTCCCAAGTGAGTACCTCATGGTACAGCATTGCATGACTGGTGTGCAAAGCTGTTTTACTCTGTGAATGAACGCATTTTTAAAGTCATTTGCTCATCTATCCCTGGTTATCATTTCTTAGAAGCACACCACAAAAAAGGTATGATGCATGAGAAGAAATTGAACTACCACAAGCTCAGTCTCACAGTGAGACAGCCCTTTGCAGAACAGTAACTCCTGTGACTTGTGTACTTGAGAATTCCTGTCCACGTGAGAACTGTGTAGTTTCTCTCTTTGGTGCTCAGTGTTAAGCAGTGATCCAAAATTACATTCTTTATCTTATACCTGTTCTTCCAAACAGTTGTGTGCAGTATTTTTGTAATGGCATCATATTTTATTTTTTTTTTAACTTGGAGGACTTTTTCTGTTTTTATTTTTAGCCACATGAAAGGACTCCATTTGAATCTAGCCTCAGTTACAAACATGGGATTCATGCACCTGCTCTCCATTCTGCTGGGCCAGTACTTCCCAGGGCTCTTCGGTTTCCAGGAAGAAGATGTTAGGCGGATGTTTCCCTTCTTGAAGAAAGGGCTCTACAGGATCTTGCAGGAGTCTGGCTATGCTCACATACAGGCTACAAAGCCTGATACTGCTGGTAAAACAAACCAACCAAAAATACCAAGCTTTTGAGCTCAGAATACTTACTCTGTTCATTTTAGCTGTGCTTCTGTAGAAACAAAATGTACTGCTTAAAATATGCAGAAAATAATTCTTCTTTCAGGGAAATTGAAGTAGGAAGGTAGGAGGTTTTAAACAGTGGGCTCCTTTTCTCTAGGCAAGTCAGAAAGGGTTACCTAGCATTACACTCACTTCTGCATGCAGAAGCAGTGTATCTGCACATCAGCACTGAGCAGGCTCCAAGTGCCACTGACCTCATTTCCAGTTTTCATAAATAAAATAGTTTGTTTTATACTTTTCCACTTCTGCTCTCACCAGGGACTGTAATTTCATTTCAAATGCAACTGTGCTAAGAGCAGAAGATAGTTTCTTTGAGAATGGATCCCATTCAAATGATGTAAACGACAAGAAGCTTTTAGCTGTCTCAGCACACAGTGTAGCTTATTTATTATAAGGATAAGTAATACCTAAGAAGTAAAATCAAATTTCATTTTCACTCATTGTTCTGAATCACTTGCATACTTTCAGGTTAAAAAAGAATGTGCATCTGTGAATGTTCTTTCTAGGTGAGCTAGGCACTCGGATTGCTTAACTACTTTAAGTGTCTGAGTATTAAGTGTTTCTATTTTAAAAACATCTTTTGCGACTGAATTGGACAACTGAGTCAAGAATACTGAATACATTTTAGTTCAGTGCAGCAGCAATTCACTCAAGGATTTTATTAAAAACATAGCTAAGGAAAATATTTCTTAATGGTTTTCCATAAGCTTGCCTACAGAGGCAGGTATATTCTTGGAATGCGTAGGCAAAATGACAATGTTATGGTTTTAAAATAATTTTGCTTCCATTGAGTTTTGGTTTCTAAAAATTGCTAGCCTTTTGTGCATCAGAAAAGAGGGGGAAACTAATAGATGCCTAGCCATGTTCCTTCTACTGTGTTTTTTTGGCTGATTCTTGTCCCTACCAGTAATGTGTGCTCTGTCAGAGCAGACTGTGGAGACTGGGAACCAGCAGCCAGTTCATGTTTTGGGAGCTGGAGCATTGTTGCAGCTCTGAAGACAAAGAAGAGAGGAGCATGGTAGTGGCAGGTTCTTTTAAGGAGAAAAACACTCTGAAGATGGGGAGCATAAGGTAGCTGGAAGAAGCAGAGCTATGGAGACTACCACAGTCTTCCTGAGACTGAAACTCAACTGTCATGTTTAAATAGCAACTACTGATGAAATTGTGCCAGCTGCAGCATTAGGCATTTTTCAGGAAGATTGGGTTGCATGGGTGGAACATCAAATATATTGCTGTTCCTTGGGAACAGCTTTTTCTAAGTTGGGGGTTTTTTTTAACAGCTGGGACAATTTATGTTCCCTGTATTTCACAGCAGTAGGATGTATGAGCAAAGTTCCAGATGCAGGCGTGTTTTTTCTGTCCAAGCAAAACAAACTTTAAAAGCTATATTAAGGCTTGTTCAAAATGAAGGCAGTTGGCTATTGCTAAGTCAGAAAATGGACCTTTTGGTAAAGCCTTGCTCTTCCTTAATGACTTTCTAATAATCCTTAAAATGTTTTCGCTGTTAGATAATGTTGCAACTCCTCCTGGTTAGGTGTAGGCATGTTGTGTTTGGCCCTGTAATGCTGTTTAATACATGACAACTTCCAAATTAATAGAAACAAACCCTACTTGGAACACAGAGCTTAATCTTATTAGCTTACAAGAAAAAAAAAAGCTAGCAGAAATATCAATACTGTTACATCAGTTCAAAAACTGTATGGTGTGAGCCAATGCAGCATCTGCTCAGTTGCAGATACTATCAGTTTATGATTTAACATTAAATGGCTCCAATTCATTCTACAATTTATTTAAGGACACAGCTGCTGAAACTGCTTTGTAAAGTTACATCCCCTGCATTGTAACAGGTTGCTTCTATAAGACCCTGAGTTCAGTAGCTGGATAATCACAACTTGTATTTTCCTCCTCCTTTCCAGGCTGTGGTTTAAATGACTCTCCTGTAGGACTGGCTGCATACATCCTGGAGAAGTTCTCTTCATGGACTGATCTGGAATTCCAGAATTTAGAGGATGGAGGACTAGAGAGGTAAGGCTTTTCTCTTATGCCATTTTGGACGAGGTGACTAAGCCCAAAGTCACAGCTAAAGAGGTATGTCTGAACTGATGGCCCCACACTTGTAGGGAGCCTGTAGTGACCACAGATGTGCAGGGCTGTACTACAGCAGACAGAGAAGCAAATAAGCCATCAAAGCTGTTGTATTCCCTTCCCACTTTGATCTCCTAGAAGCAAAATACACCCTGCAGCTTCTGGATATTATAAACTGACATGGGGGGGAAAAAAATCTCATTAGGATGCAAACCCCAAAAGTCTAACGCACATTAAGATGCTGGGAAACAGAACTCTTGATTCATTTTAATACTAATAATTAACTCTCAATTAATTTGCTTTGGACTGACCAGTATTGCTTCATCTACCTACCATTCTTAGCGTGCAGCAGAAATCTGAGCTGAACTACCTGGCAGGAGTGGAGTGAAAGGGTATGTTAGGAAAAGGCCCAGTGAGAATGGATTTGAATAGAATGTTTGCACTGCATACAGCTAATAATTTTATATGAAACATACACTGTTTACAGCACGTGTTGGTGTGATGGCTCTGCTGAAAGTTCACAGAAGCATTTCAAATTATCATTAATAGATGGCACAAGCTGTTCCATGTGCTGTTTTGCTCCTACCCTCCCAGTCTATGGACAGGACTGACAGCTATGCTGGAGCATAAGGTGCTTGTGGGAGTCTGCCTTCTATGTAGGAGTTAAAATGTCACTTCCCAGTTTGTGTCTAAAAGCCTTTAACATTCTTAATTGGTCACTGAGAGCCAGAGGGGCAGTAGTACACTTCATCTCTCCACTCTTACCTTAACCAAATTAACTCTTTTTTCCTCTAACTTTTTTTCTCACAACCAAACCAAAATCAAGCCCCTACTGAAGTAATACAAATCAGTATTCAGTTCTAACTAAGCAATCTCTGGGCTTACCTATTCAGGAAGTTTAACCTGGATGACCTGCTCACCAATATCATGATCTACTGGGTGTCAGGCTGTATAGTCTCCTCAATGCGTTTCTACAAAGAAAATTTGCAGAAGGGGATAGGCACACAGAAACATGAAAAGTAAGTGGTTCTTTTCCTTTATACATTTTCCCTATATCTTAATTTTATGGTTGCAGACAGGTTGCTCATGTCTTATTGCTGCTACAGGTTTCTGAATGCTGAGGAAAAAGCACTGGTGTATTATAGTATTTCTCTGCAGGACAGGCCTGTTAGTTGATGTACTGTGTTGTGCCTGGAAAACACAGTAATTAGGTAGGAATCCTGAACTATCTATCAGTAAGGAGATCTGATTTGGAGACACTGCTTGAGGACATGGTATATCCATGTACTTCCAGATTTTATTTCAGTTACTAAATTAGCCTGTGATGAGTCAGTTTTGTTTAGTTTATTTGGTTTGTAGTTTTAGTACTTTTCTGGACACACTTTGTCTATTTCTGCAAAAGACTTAAGTCCTTCCTTTAGAAGCAACTTCCCTGTGCTAACAAGCAGCATAACCTGGAAGTCAGTAAGACTGAGGTGCCTGCTGTGCAGACACTTAAGGCAGCAGCTTGGTTGCAAATACTTGTGTCAGCTTGAGTATTAGTGAAGGCTTAAACCTGCCCTGAGGTATCTGCAACCACAGCTTACTGCTATTGTATTTATTTAGCTGTGAAATGGTGTTCCCAGGAAGCTGACTCAGCTCTTCAAACTGTTGTGGCTACACTGTGGGCCAGTGTCTTGCTCTGGTTCTGCCTACATGAGATAAGCTATATGAGCTTCTGTGTACCTAGAGGACAGAGTCTCAAAGTCTTGTGTAAAATTAGGCACTCTGAGCTCAGGCTTTCCGTGGTTTCACGTCCAACGCTTTTTGTATTTACATTTTAAAGTTTGTCAGTTCTGACAATGCAACTTATGTGTATGTGGTATTTAAACCTAGAAAGTGTCTCTCTTCTTAAAACAGTCACAGATCATTACACTTTCTAAAGACTATTCCCCTCAAATCCAGGTGCTTCCCTATACTTCCTAATGTGCAGAATGTTTTGTAGAGTGCATTTGTGTCAGTTAAAAGCAAGGGCTACTTTACAGGATTAAGTCTCAAATTCAGAAATGTTTACTCTCTTGTTATTGCTCCCCTCTCTTCTCTTTTGCAGCACACTTTGAAGTAATTCACTGTAAATCTCTCTCCAACCCTTGTCAAAGTGTGTACTTGCCCCTCAATACATGACTCTTGAGCCCTCACTGCAGCATGAGGAAACCTGATGCCTATCTCCTCCTAGGGCTCTCCATATCCCTGCTTCCAAGTCTCATACCCTGGATCCCTTGCAAAATTGCCTTAATGCCAATGTATGCAAAAAAAAAAATATGTTGTTTTCTTTAGGAATTAGGGTGTTGTCTTCCAACTTAGGATCTGGAAGTCAAATTTTAATTGCTTAACAACAGCATGCCCAACTGTTCAGGAACAACATTTCCTTGGGAATTTTCATTTCTTGCATAGTTCAGTATTTGAAAGATTAAAATGATTTTCTCTCCTCTCCCAGGCTCACAGTACAAGTACCTACTGGCATTGCCTCCTTCCCTAATGAAATCATGCACACACCCCAGGCTTGGGCCCGGAAGAAGTACACCAATATAGTTTCCTTCAATTTCATGCCTCAAGGTGGCCATTTCGCAGCTTTGGAGGAACCTGAACTTCTTGCTAAAGATATTCTGCAATTTGTTGGGAAAGTAGAGAAAGAGCAGCTTTGGAGAAAGAAAGGGGAATAACTCCCCTAACAAATAGCAGGGTAATTACTTTTTGCTTAGCACATGTACAGGGCTTACTATGTCTACTGTAATCCATGTAATTAGGTTTTATTATTGACTAGACATGACCAAGGACGGCAAGAAAAATGCAGTGTATCTCCATGAGATACTGCCATGGGGACCTACTGATTTTTTGGGTTTTTTTTGTTCAGCTAAGCTAAGAAAATAGCATGAACATTACTGGCTTATCTTCTGAAATGTGTTCTGTAGTATCCCTGACTCTTGCTTTGAGATTGAAAAATAGACCTTACAATTAGTAATGTCACTAATAACAGTTTCATTTTTATGAAAGGCTTTTTTGTCATGGCAGCAGTAAAACTTGAGTTGCTGTAAGTATGAAGTTCCTCACATGAAGAATGAGGAACAGCCTAGCAAGACCTAACTTGCATGAGTGCATCAGTTAATCAGCATCAATGACTTAAAGTACCTTTAAATTAGCCAGTTGCCTACTACTGGCTGCCTTTCTCTTTCAGCCTGGGCTGTTAAGCAACTTCCTGGCTGTGAAGAAGCTCAATTCCCATGCCAGGCTCCTGGGATAGTGACATGCAAGGAGCAGCTGAAACACACAGGTGCCTGTAGCTCAGACCAGGAGGGGCTGGGTAGGAGTAACTATAGCCCAAGCTCCCTCTGCACTGAATTTGTACTTGTAACTTAAGTTGTAGCCCTGGGTAGGCTCAACACACTGTGGCTTTGCACTGCTTTTGCAGGTTATTGTTCATACCTCTTATTAAAGAATAAAAATTTAATTAATTCAAAATTAAAAGAAACTTGCATTAAAATGTTGAACAATTCCTGTGTGTTTCTTTTACATTTTTTTGATAACTGGTATTTTGCTTGGTGCCAGCAAAGAGAAGCCTCAATTTAGAACCTATCAATTCTGTACTGCATCCATCACAAAGGTCAGATTGAAGGGAAACTGCTCAAAGAAAAGTGAAATTTGAATCTGTATGTTTTTGCCAGCAACAGTACCTAGTGTGTGCAGTTGAGCTTCAGACAGTCTTAAACCGTATCCACATGACTGATTTCAGTTTGGTTTTGTTCTCAAGTCACTTCTGATATAGTTCTCTACCCCTGCAAGCACAGGGAATACAATCTACCAATAACACTTGCATGGATTAATATTATTTCACAACATTAATTGGAATGGAAGCTGTTAAATAAGAGCCACTCCAGCAGAGCCCTGCTCTATCCCACAGGGCTTTAGACTCAAGCATGCCATGTAGTTTGCTTCACAGAAGGTAAGTCAATGCTCCTAAATGGGCACATATTCAAATCCTAGAGCTGAAAGCCACTATCAGCCATGACAGAAAATCGTTAGGACAGATGGGTTGTGGATCAGCCTGGATCAGTTTTCTGAGCAGACACAAGACCTCTCGCTCCCTTTCCTCTGCCTTTTCCACCTGGGTGCCAGTAGAGCAAGGCAGAGACTCTCTCAGGTCTCCTTCCTAGATTTAACCCTCAAGCTGTTCTTGAATTCTTTAAGACAGCTATCTGCTTCCAGATTAGTAGTGAGCACAAATTCTATGTTTACTTGTAAATACTTTCATTAGTAAAAATTTGTGTTCTCATCTGCAAAAGATTGTGTGATTCAGGCCAGTCTGTTTTGAAGAAGACACACTTCACTATAAAATAGACTTCACTTCAAAATAGACTCTTCTCAGAGAAGACCATCCCCAAACTTGTTTCACATGCAGTATATTGAAATATATGCTAAGGAATCAGCTCACCTCTGACAACAGCTGTTTATAGGCACCACTATGCTCCCTCCTGAACAAGTTTTGATCTCTGACCATTTAGTTTTGCCTTTCCTCTCTCCCCTATATGGCCTTATATTTCAGACCTAGAGATCATCCCCTCTCTTCTTTAAGGCACATACAGACATCTGCTGTGGTGTGAGGGAGCTCTGCCATACTGATACAACTGAACACTTCCCCTGGGACTGCTCAGTCACAATGCAGATTAAGGAAGTGGGAAGGAAGTCTGCTATGTGACACCTGCCAAACCAATTTTCAGATGTGAGTAGAAGGCTCAAAGCATTTTCTCTCTCCCTTCTGGAGCAGATCTGCTTGAAGGGGCCCAGCCTCGATGAAAGGAGGCACATCAGGACTGTTTAGTGATATTATGTTACAGCAGCTCATCCAGGCTCAGTCAGTCATCAGTGAGAGCTGGACAAAAAAACCAGCTGCCTGTAGAACCTTTCTATTTTTAAACAGGCCTCAGTGTTCAGTACTCTGAGACAATGATAATGAAAAGAGGCAGTATATGAGCACATTGTTTCTGTGCTCTGCACACCAGGTAAGAGCACTTCAGCCTGCTACAAACATGAGCTGTCCATACGGTCTGTACAACTGAGCACAGAAGATAGGCATTGAGACACTAAATCCACCACAATAATGGGTTTGACTAGCTACTGTCTGAAAGAGAAACAAATCTGGACCTAAAAGGTGCAGACTTTAGAAACCTTAAAATCATAATTAAACACCTGATATATGGCAAAGGTTGTTCTCAGTTCTGATGTCACACTTCTCAAACCTTAAGCCCATGGCTATCAGCAGCTGTTGTTCATCACCTACTTATCTACACTTAGATACAAAGATACAGTGAAATACAATGACCATATGAAAAAGTATAAAATTCAGCTCTGTGCCAGCTACAAAACCTGCCATCAGTTCCTCTCCCCTTTTCAAAATAATCCTGTTTTCAGCAAAACACAGCCAATCCCACCTCCTGTAGTGCAAGGTTTAATATTAATGAATATTAAATATTAATCTATGGGCTAGTGATAGCATCTGCAGCTCTCCCTGGGGCCTGAGATTTGAATTTGATAACCACCTTAAGTGAATCCAGATTCACTTCTGATACACTCTGGCATTGGCTAACAGCCAATTATTTGGTACAGATAATCAGAAATAGTTTTAACATTTATGTTAACAAGTAACTGCATATCAGATTACTGCACTAGTAATAAGCAGTAAGAAAGGACTGCCTGCTCTATTACAATTGCTCTTATTTAAGTGAGCCAGCTGAGTACCTGCCATTCAGGCAGGGAATTTTCTCTAACAAGGCCAAATGCACAGCTGTTGGACTGGCTGAGCTGTTTCTTGGGAATACAGCTCTGAAACAGTAGCTACAGCCTTCAGGAGAACCCAGAATCTCATGACACCGACGCTCAAAACGTTTTGTTTTGCTCCAGAGCCACTTCTTGGTAAAGCTTTCTTTTCTGGACCAAAGTTGTCCCAAAGTCCCTGTTCAAAGAAACTGCTGTTCTAAAAGCTATGCCTTGTTGCTCAAGAACATGCATTTATCCAGCACTGAAATCAAAAGTAGCTGACCTAAACCCTGCTTTTTAATTATCCAGTTGCAGCCATGAAGAGTCTAGATAAGGGGTCTGGAATCATGGAGATGGCACTGAAAATAAACAGCACTTGTACTCTTCCTCCCCATCTGAAGTGCTTTGGAAAGTATCTGCTTCTGGTATGGAAAAAACACAAGTAAGGTCATCATCTTCTCATACAGCTCCAGCTAAATTACCACAACAACCAAATTTGACTTCTGATTTTTAAACTACAAACTATAATGTCCTGAAAAATCCAAGCCACTACATGCAACCTTTGGACATCTTACACAACTAAACAAGCCCAGACTTCTTGCACATTAAATAAAGAAGTCAGGCATTACTCAGATTATGAATGGAAAAAATATGAATAGAAATCATACTTTCGTATGAAAAAGGAAGTTAAATCATTCAGTGAAAAATAGAATCTGTTAAGTCTAGCATCAGAGTTAGCTCTAGATCCATGAGGGGCACTATTCATCACCACTGAGTCAGCTATAATTGCTTGGGGGCAGGACTGAAGTTCAAGACAGTCAATCATTCTATTTTGCAGGAGGTGTAATACATAACATGCATTAAATGAAGATACATTTTTGTCTGGAAAAGGAATGGAAAAATCTTTCTGGATACTGTGCAGAGACAAGGAATAAATCCATATTGATTTCAGGGTAGCTTATTTTAAAACACTGAGAAATGATGCCACTTGTTTTACTTGCTGTAATAGCACTTCAAGGAACATAACTCACACTAAAACTGTCTTGCTTAGGATTAATTTTCTTTCATGGAAGAAACATCCTGTGCAGCGCCAGACAGCCCTGATGGTGTTATGCCAATGCTGCTAGAAGAATTAGCCCAATTACAATTGTCAGTTGTCTTCTGGAGAGCAGTATTTATAAACAGATCTGGGCTGTGTGACAGCTCTTTCCCCTTGCTAGATGTAGTCACAACATCAGCCTTCAAAATACCTTTCTGACTGGATTTAGGGATGTTGAAGATGTTCTTGCTCTCCTTGTGTTTAATAACTGAATATCTGCAGTTTTGAATAATAAAAGAGATTTAAATGATGAGTTTCCACCTTCTTAAATGAAAGATAATCCTACTATGCAGCAGTAGTTCAAATCACTGCAGGTGATCAGTGCAGAGGGAGTATGGTACAGGGAAGAGGTGAACAGAACCCTGAAAAGACAAAACTACACTCAAATGCCCAGTTCTGAGTCAAAGATACCAATGTGACAAATGTACATGAATGCTGACTCCCAACTGTTTGAACAGCAGCACAAAGAGGTGCAAGGGAGGAAACCAACTGCTTCACCTTGCCAATGCTGCCTCTCCTAGCAGCTGCTGGGGGCCCATCCAGCTTGCAAAGCCCCTGCCCCCAAGGCTGAGCAAGGGGTCCAGCTGCCTCCCCTCACCACAACAGCAGCTGCTGCCTGTTTTGGGCCCAGGGAGGGCCAGGCCATGGGGGCAGGTGGAAAGAGAATCTACATCATCCTTAGCTCTGAAATTCCTCCCAGTCCATGCCTTGGCCCCCCACTGGTATTCACTCCACAGCCAACACAAAACCAACTTTTGCCCATCCTGCTGATACCCCACCCTTCCTTCTTAACCCAATCCTCCTACTGTTCTTTCATTCCTAGCTGTCCACAGCACAAGAAAAGAGCAGATGTGTCCCACCCTGAGGCATTTGGATGAGCAATGGATGTAAAAACATCCTTTTCTGAGCAGAAAGGCCTAGCCCAGCTAACACTCTT